GCAATGACTGATGAGACACTGTGTCCTGGGAGTGCCTTTTCCTCCTGAGTACTGTAGGTCCTGTGTGGCATTTTCTTCCAGAACAGGCCTTATCACACTGTGTATGCCACTACGATTCTTAAATCTCTCAAACCAACCTTTGCTGGCTTTAAATTCACCAATATGAGCACTAGTTCCAGGCATTTTTTCCTGTTCACCTGGGTGTTAGTCGACTGGTGTGGGTTGCATCCTGGGAGACAAGATTAAGGACTCCAATGGAAATAAGTTAAGACAGTCTTCGATGACACTGACTTTTTTTGGGTTATCCTGGGTGGCTAACCCTCTGGGAATAATTGTTTCTTGGTATTCTCAATAAGCCACACCAACAATGGTGCTACAGCAGCAGCAGCTGACAGTGCTACAGCAGCAGCAGCAGCTGACAGTGCTACAGCAGCAGCAGCTAACAGTGCTACAGCAGCAGCTGACAGTGCTACAGCAGTAGCAGACGGTGCTACAGCAGCAGCAGACGGTGCTACAGCAGCAGCAGACGGTACTACAGCAGCAGCAGCAGCTGATGGTGGTAAAGCAGCAGCAGCTGATGGTGCTACAGCAGCAGCAGCTGACAGTGCAGCAGCAGCAGCTGACAGTGCTACAGCAGCAGCAGACGGTGCTACAGCAGCAGCTGACAGTACTATAGCAGCAGCAGCAGCTGATGGTACTACAGCAGCAGCTGATGATGCTACAGCAGCAGCAGCTGACAGTGCTTCAGCAGCAGCTGACAGTGCTTCAGCAGCAGCTGACAGTGCTTCAGCAGCAGCTGACAGTGCTTCAGCAGCAGCTGACAGTGCTTCAGCAGCAGCTGACAGTGCTTCAGCAGCAGCAGACAGTGCTACAGCAGCAGCAGACAGTGCTACAGCAGCAGCAGACGGTGCTACAGCAGCAGCAGATGGTGCTACAGCAGCAGCAGACGGTACTACAGCAGCAGCAGCAGCTGACGGTGGTACAGCAGCAGCAGCTGACGGTGGTACAGCAGCAGCAGCAGCTGACGGTGCTACAGCAGCAGCAGCAGCTGACAATGCTGCAGCAGCAGCTGACAGTGCTACAGCAGCAGCAGCAGCTGACAGTGCTACAGCAGCAGCTGACAGTGCTACAGCAGCAGCAGACGGTGCTACAGCAGCAGCTGATGGTGGTACAGCAGCTGATGGTGGTACAGCAGCTGATGGTGGTACAGCAGCAGCAGCAGCAGCATCAGCAGTTGACCATGGTACCACAGTATTTCGATATTTCTCACCCTTTTTACCACAGGGTTGGCACTAGAAGCTTTCTTGGGGCCCATGGTCACATATTTTGCAGATAAAATCACCAAAAACACTGTAATAATACGAAATGTTCCGATTGTATGCTTGGATGTTACCGCGGAGGCTGGCTTGTAAACAATGCCACCGGCGGAACATGCGAGGCTGGCTCAGGCCGCACATTAGACGCGTCTCGGACGAATAGCGTTGAGCGGGTTTTTTAGCGGTATGCGAGGCAAAATCTTAGCGATAAAATGTATCGGTATGCGGATTTAACGTTATGTGATGCCAACGGTATGCGGGGGTCCACTGTATTTTTCTATTACTTTCCTCTTAAATTCCATTGTGTTTCTCACTTTCTTTACCAAAGGAAATTTACTAGGAACTTTCTTGGGGCCCATGGTGACTTATTTCAGTTGCACTTAATAAAAAAAAATGGATTTTAAGGAAATGTTTGGATGAATGAGCAGAGTACATGCTCACTCGCCGACATACAAAGGGAGACTGACTCACCAAAGCCTGGCGTACCTTTGATATATCTTTGAAGAGTTTCGAGAGTTTCTCTACTCTCTGAGTCCTGCCATGGACCAGGCTCGTCTGGTGCTTGACTGGTCAATCAGGCTGTTGCTGCTGGAGGTTCGCTGCACTACATATCCATCACAGCCTGGTTGATTTGGCACCTGGTGAAAGTACTTGTCCAGTTTTCTCTTGAAGTCTTCTACACTTGTTCCCGCCATGTTTCTGATATCTTCTGGTAAGGTGTTGAATAGTCTGGGACCCCGGATGTTGATACAGTGTTCCCTTATTGTCCCCACTGCACCTCTGCTCCTCACTGGGTTTATTTTACACTTCCTCCCATATCTCTCACTCCAGTACGTTGTTATGGCAGTGTGCAGATTTGGGATCAGGCCCTTGAGTACTTTCCAGGTATATACATGTACTATTATCAAACTTTTCCTCACCAACCTAAACAGGACACATGACCACAACACAAGACACAGATCTCTTTTTGATATACCGCGTGTCCATATCACACTGTGTAAAAACTCTATGCACATAAAGGGCCCCAAAATATGGAATTCATTACCAGAAGATATTAAAGTAACCCAGTCTGAAAATCAATTTAAGACTCTTCTCAAAAGCCACTTAATCACCCTCAGTATACACTTACTCATTTATGCCCTCCCACATCATAACTGAAACAATCACACTGAACCTTTTATCCATTGTTGACAGGAATATAATTGAATCATTGTTTTTCACAAAAGCATTTTAGAATATAAATACGTATATCTTTGTATTATACAAATTTTGATTCATTTATAATTAATATTCTACTGTACAACTATTAAATAATTACTTTCCTACTGTACAACTATGATATACTATTTCTTAGTATTAAGTAGAATGTAAGCCAATAATGTTAAGTTGGCCCATAATGCCAAGGCATAATAGAGGCTCTCTTTGTATTGCAACCCACTATTGCATATACACAATCTCAATGTACTGTTTGCAAAGACATTAAATAAATAAATAAATAAATCGTGTAACTTTCTCTCCTCCGCTCCAATGAGTACACGTTCAAGACTCAAAGGCGGGCTAACACGTCTAATACAGCCAATATATGAGGCAACGGCCGAAATACGGAGCAAAATTTCCGCCGAAAAACGGCCAATAAACAAAGCGGCCAAAAAAGAGGTTCCACTGTATTAAGTTAGCAATAGAACTAGGCATTAAAAATAATAAAAAGTAAGATACACACAGTACACTTATTACTTACCTTAAAATATCTGTAGTCTTAATGTAGGAAGTCAGGTGTGGGAGGTATGGTAGCCAGCCAGGCCAGGCCAGGCCACCCCACCCACACATAATATACTACGACATTTAAAGCACCCTAAAGTGATAAAATGCACATACAGTACACTCATTACAGTGGAACCTTGGTACTTGAACGTAATTCATTCCAGAAGGCTGTTTGAGTGCTGACCTGTTCGAGTACCAAACGAATTTTTCTCAACCAATTTTCTTTTTTTGGTGGCTGTTATCACTAATCTTCTTAGGCCTCATGCTGACTTATTTATACAATATAAAAAACACCATGTAGGGTGAGAGGTGAGTAAATGAAGTAAAACGAATAAACAAAAGAGAGAGAACGCGTAAATGAGAGAGGAGAGACACACGAAGTATGTAAACAAGCAGACGAACGTGTCTGGTTTTGGTTCATACACATTCAATTACACGTAACATCTCATATTTATGTTAATTTATTCTACTGTGGGGTGTATTTATCATGTTTATATGTTACATAGCGTGCTTATTATATAATTTTGAAAAAATATCATGGCTGGATTCATGAAAATGTTTATATTAATGTAATATATAACATTTAGTGTGCCTCAGAGTGATTTTTTATTGCATATTATTATTATTATTATTATCATTATTAATATTGCGTCCTCAAGACTAATAAGACAATCTTAGTGATTTTAATGTGTACATGCAACCCAGCACAGTGTGTAACTTTATTTAGGTATAGGTACACATAAGCATAATTATCAGAGTGTATATGTAAAACATGAATTAACTTCAAAACACTTGAAATTTTGGAAAGCTTCCAGACATAATGGAGAGACGCGGTGCTCATGGAGCTCACAGAGAATGCAAACAAATAGGGTGGGGCATGGTGACCATATTAGAAAGTCAGGTGGGGGGAACCATATAGCAAGTTTCGATTATAATTTGAAATGTCCGTATTAGCGGAATGCCGTAAAGCGGGGCCCTACTGTGTATAAGTCATTTTTCATTTACATTCATACCTATGATAAAGTTTAATTAATAAATTATGCATAATAAGTGGAGAATTATCACTAAGAGAAACGATTTCATGGCTTCTCTTAGGCTTTGAAAAACTGCCAGTATCACTACTTTTGTGCTTTGTGGTCCTTATTAAGCAAAATTAAGAGTAATTTTTGGGCCACGTTAAACCATGGATAACTGAAACCACTGAAACTAAATCCGTGGATACAGGGGTTCTACTGTATTTGTAATAAAAAATGATTTATTTAAAACTATGCATATTACAGATAAGATGTTTTTTAAAAAGATGAGTGACCTTTCCCTTCTTTGGTTCAAACCTGATTACCTCCAGTTTCAAGAAGGGTATGACTCCCTATTGGTTTAGAACTTTCCCATGAAAATACCAGGCAGTATGATATTTGGCTACATTAAATATAGTGAGGGGAAAATGTTACAGTGAGGTACATGATAAATATATACTGTAGCTAATACTGTATTGCGCAAAGTAATCAATGTTATAGTAGGGTACATATATGATGAATGCCTGTATATAATAATACTCTATTGTGTAAAATGACCAATTTCTCTATCTTACTAAATACAGTGGACCCCCGCATAACGATCACCTCCGAATGCAACCAATTATGTAAGTGTATTTATGTAAGTGCGTTTGTACGTGTATGTTTGGGGGTCTGAAATGGACTAATCTACTTCACAATATTCCTTATGGGAACAAATTCGGTCAGTACTGGCATCTGAACATACTTCTGGAGTGAAAAAATATCGTTAACTGGGGGTCCACTGTATGTTATTCTTTTTAAAGCTAGTGTACTGCACACATTAATAATATATAGATGAGGTCAAAAATCTAATAATATATATGTACTGTACATCAAAATTTGCTTTAACATTGACATTATTTAGTCTCACCTGTATGCCGCAATTTGAAATTTTCATCTTCAAACTTTGCACCATAAATAGATCGTCCACCGGTTCCATTATGGTTCGTAAAATCTCCCCCTTGGCACATGAAACCAGGAATAATACGGTGAAATGTGGATCCCTGGTAGCCATAGCCCTTTTCATGAGTACACAGACAACGGAAATTCTGAAATACATACAATATACAAAATGTGCTAAGTGCTAAGGAAAAATTATTGACTATTTAATTTATGTGGTACCCTGTCATGAGGGGTTCCTTGATGTTGAAGTGTTCTTGATCCAAAGAAATGGAGGTACTGCCACCTTCCTTGAATCAAATCTGATTACCTCTCATTCTCCCAGGCACTGTATGACCCTATAAAGTGTCTGTACCCCTCAGCTGTCTTTATTTTTTTGGTACCCATCAAAAATAACTTCATTAAAACTTTAATGTCTTTTGGAACATCCTTTTATTTTTACAGAAAATATAAAGGTGAAGCAGCCCAATGACACAGTTATAGATAAACAGTTATATGCATTCAATTATAAATAAAAAACAGAAAAAAATATATTTGTCTTATTTAGTGGTCCTTTTGTTGTTGATGTTCATTAGTGATGATATTGGAATGAGTTTTTTTTTTTTTTTTAAGAAACAGCCACGCACTTTTCATTATTTGCATCAAGACTGTCTCTAGTCTTAATTTTTATGTGACGAAATACTGAAAAAACTGTTTCACATAAACAGTTGGTGGCAAATTGCAAAAGTACATTGAAAGCTTTTTCCGCTAACTGTGGGGAAGTTCTGAGTTATACACACAACTGAATCAGATTCCATTCAGATTCCTTCATTAGCTTTCAGTTCAGCAAGATCTTTCATTATATTTATATCACTCTCATCTATGGAATCCAGACTAAAATTAACCCTTTCAGGTCCGTGCCGTAGATCTACGGCTTTACGTTCAGGGTCCAAACCGTAGATCTATGCCATGAGCTCAGCTCACTCTGATAAGCTATGAGCAGTAAATTTGGGCCTAGATATGAGAGAATACATCTATGTGGTATGTGTGCACTACATAAAACAAATCCTGCAGCACACAGTGCATAATTAGAGAAAAAACTGAGACTGTAATTTTAGATTAAAACAACGACTTTGCAGTGTTTTTACGTATGTTTTTTAAACTTGTATTTGCAATTTCTTGGTCTCATTTGATAGAATGGAAGATATACTACAGAAATAGAGATGATTTTGATTGGTTTTAGTACTGGAAATGACTTGAAACTGAGCTCAAAGTAGCAGAAATGTTAATTTTTTGCCGATGTTCAAGAGTAAACAAATGACCTCACAAGTCTAATACATGACAGCTGGTGGGTCTAATATACATTCACAAATGTGGTGATATTATTTGTATAATTATTACAGTTTTGCATAACAGTAAATCTTCTATTTTTTGGTTTGAATAAAAATTCATTATGTGAATAAAAAATCAAAATGGAATTAATTTGTAAAGCCTGAAAACATAACTAATGAACAGAGGAAATGTTAGTTTAGTGCCAGGAATGCCTGCATTGTTTATTCTGGACCCTATTTTGAAATTGGAATATTTTGAACTTTGCATTAAATTGGCCAAATTACAAATTTCTGGTCACTTTATTTTGTTGTTGAAACAGTAGGCTTGGCGATTTCTTGTGCTCAATCGACAGAATAGAAGTAATACTAGTGAAATAGCTAAGAATTTGGTTGACTGAAATACTGTAATTGGCCTAAAATGGGAGTCAAAGTCGGCAAAATCGCTGATGCATAAATATCGCCGACACATCAAAATTCGCGAGAGCATAATTTCGTCAATTTTCCATCAAATTTCATACTTTTTGTTTTATTACCTTCAGAAAGAGATTCTCTACCATTTCATAAGAAAAAATAACAAAATTATTTTTTGAAAATTCTTGGACCCTGGTGCACTTTGAAATTTGGCCTCTGGACCCTGAAAGGGTTAATGAATTTTATATCCATTCCCTGAGCCAGAGAAACTTCTCCATGGTGACAGTAATCTCAGTAAGACTGAATGAACATTAGAAAACAAGAACAAAGGAACACTGCAGCAGGCATATTGGCCCATGCTAGGCAGGTTCAACTCATACCCACTCATGTAACTGTTCAATCTATACTTAAAGCTACCCAAAGTTTTTGTCAATGATGCTATCTGGGAGCTTGCTCCACTTATCTACAACACTATTGCCTAACCAGTACTTCCCTATATCCTTTCTATATCTAAATTTCTACAACTTGAATCCATTACTGTGAACCCTGTCTTGGTTTGATAACTTCACCATACTATTTATATCTCTTTTATTCCTGTTTTTCTCTTGTACACTTCAATCATATCTCCCCTAACTCAGTTTTTCCAGAGAGTGCAAGTTCAGTGACTTCAACCTATCTTTGTAGGAAAGGTTTCTAAGACATGGAATCAACTTTGTTGTCCTTCTCTGCATATTTTTAAAGCACAATTATATGTACAGCAGACCCCCCGGTTATCGGCCGTAATCCGTTCCAGAAGGACAGCTGATAACCGAAATGGCTGAAAACTGAATTAATATTTCCCATAAGAATTAATGGGAATACAATTAATCTGTTCCAGACAAAAATATTCACAAATAACAATTATGTAAGTATTACATACCCTCATTGAAGACTAATGTTGGCTTCTGGAAGATAGGGAAGAGGAAAGAGTGAGGAGTTAGTGTTTGGAAGGGAAATCCCACTCCATAAAGACTTTAAGTAGCAGTCTTCTCTGGGGTTACTTCCCTTCTTTGTCTTTTAATGCCACTAGGACCAGCTTGAGAGTCACTGGACCCTTGTCTCACAAAATATGTAACTGTCCAGAGTGCTCTGTTTCTGGCATCTCTTCAAGATTTCCCTGAAGTGGGGCAGGGTTTTGTCACTAAACATGTTGCAGACATGGCTTGTTTCAGCTTTGTCAGAGTGGTGTTTCTCTACAGAAGCTTGTACCCTTGTCCACATAGCACACACCTCTTTAATCTCTGAAGAAGGCACCTCCTTCACCCTCTCTTCCTCCTCCTCTGAAGCAAGGTCCTCAGCTGCAGTTTGTTGCTGTTCAAGTTGAAGCTCTTGCAGCTCTTCAGTGATTAGCTCTTCCCTGTGGTCCTCCACCAACTTTTCCACATCCTCGCCACTCACCTCCAACCCCAGGGACTTCCCCAGTGCCACAATAGAGTCCACAGAGTCAGCAGGGTCAGGGTCAGCCTCAAACCCTTCAAAATCCCTCTCTTGGACACAATCTGGCCACAGTTTTCTCCAAGCAGAGTTCAAAGTCCTGGAAGTCACTCCCTCCCAAGCCTTACCTATAAAGCTTATGCAATGGAGGATAATGAAGTGATTCCTCCAGAACTCACTTAGGATCAAGTGAGTGTCCAACATAACTTCAAAGCACTTTTGAAACACTGCTTTTATGTAGAGTTTTTTGAAGTTAGAAATGACCTGCTGGTCCATGGGCTGGAGGAGAGGAGTGGTGTTAGGAGGCAAGAACTTCACTGTGATGAAACTGAAGTCCCTAAACACTTGGTCTTGCAAGTCTGGAGGATGTGCAGGAGCACTGTCCAGTAACAGGACTCACTTGAGTGGCAATTTCTTTTTCAGGAGGTAATCTTTCACACTTGGGCCAAACACATCATCAACTCACTCTTTGAAATTTTGCCGTGTGACCCATGCCTTATGATTAGCTTTCCACATCACATACAATCTATTCTTCATGGCATTGTTTTTCTTGAACACACTGGGATTTTCTGAGTGATACACGAGTAAAGGCTTCACTTTGAAATCCCCACTAGCATTACCACACAATGAAAGAGTTAGCCTGTCTTTCATAGGCTTGTGTCCTGGCAGTGCCTTTTCCTCCAGGGTAATGTAGGTCCTGTTTGGCATTTTCTTCCAAAACAGGCCTGTTTCGTCACAACTGAACACTTGTTGGGGTTTGAATCCTTCAGCCTCTATGCACCCCTGGAATTCCTGCACGAATTTTTCAGCCACACATTGTCAGAACTTGCTGCCTCACCATGCCTTATAACACTGTATGCCACTACGCTTCTTAAATCTATCAAACCATCCTTTGCTGGCCATAAATTCACAAACTGCAGCACTTGTTCCAGGCATTTTCTTTGCAAGATCCTCATGCAACTGCCTTGCCTCTCACAAATAATAGACTCCACAACACTGTCTCCCATTAATTCTTTTTCCTTAATCCACAATAATAATAACTTTTCCATCTCTTCCATTATTGGTGGCCTTTGTTTAGTTAGAAAAGTTACTCCTTTTGCAACATTAGCATCTCTGATTTGTTCTTTCTTTGCCAGGCTGGATGTAATTGTTGATTTATTCTTGCTGTACATCCTGGCAATTTCCACCACCTTCATAACACTCTCAAACTTTTCTATCACTTCACGCTTAAATTCCATGGTGTTCCTCACTTTCTTTACCACAGCAACTTTCTTTGGAGCCATGGTTACTTATTTCACAGTTGCACTGCAAAAAAAACCCACTAAAAACAATGGAAAACAAGCGAAATGTTTGGATGTATGAGCAGAAGCTTCCCCAGCCCCCAAGAGACAAAGCCAAACTGATGCGCAAGTGGCCCCAGCCGGCAGATAGATGCGTCCCAAATGGCCGATCACCGAATTAACGGCCGATAACCGAAAAACCGGCCGACAACCGAGTTGGCTGATAACAGAACCGGCCGACAACCGGAGGTCCACTGTATTGTGTAATATGGAGATCAGAACTGAGCAGAATTCTATTGGTATGATTGCAAATACTTATGCACTATTGTCTTGGCTTTAAATTTCTGCTAACCAGATTTCCTAAATCTTTTTCGCATTCATTTTGACCAAGACCTACTTTATTTAGTTTGTAAGTGCCATAGTTATTTTCTTTTCCTAACACTTTCCTTACACTTGCCTGCATTGAACTGCATCAACCTATCCAGGTCATCCTGTAGCTTTCTAGTGTCCTCATCAGAAATTATTTAATGGCCTATTTTAGTGTCATCAGCAAACTTACTTATGTTGCTATTTATTCCCTCATCAATGTCATTTATATAAAATGAGAACAAGGATACCGACACCAACCCTTGTGGCATACCACTTGTAACTGGTCCTCATTCAGATTTCTCCCCATTAATGCAAACTCTCTGTTGCCTATCAATCAGCCATGCCTTGACACAGGAAATAATTTCTTTTACAAATAGTGTTTCACTTCAGTCAAGAAGTCTCAAACCCCCAGCTTTGCTGTTTGTACCCCAGTGGGTACAGGTATCCCTGGTTAAGAACCATTGCTCTATGGGTTTAGTGCTTCCCAATGAACACAAAGTAAAATAATACAGTACAGTACTAATTTTCAGTGTGAAAATTCAACTGAAAATCTGCTAATCTTTATTTCTACAAAGTACATGATACAACTGATACAGACCTAGTTGACATAACTGGCATACTTTATAGAAACACACTGCACATTCAGAGCATTTTGGGCAACTTAAGTTAATCTTGTCCCCCAGGATGTGACCAGTGGCATCGTAAGGGGTGGCAGGGGGTGCCCTGGGTGACACCATCAAGGGGTGACACTATAGAGCCTCTAAAGAAGGTGACACTAATGCCCAAAACAGTACTGCAGCAACATAAGAGAAAAATTCTTCATTTCTATATAGCCTATTATGTGATTACAGAGTACAAATGGGCCTATATAGGAAAAATCATTGATTTTGATGATGTGATAGATGATTTTGCAGGATTGAAGGCAAGTAAATGTAAGATCAGAATCATTGAGATATTACCTGTACTCAAGGTGAAATCAGAACTAGTGTTTCTCTGATACTGCAATGTTTTTCTTTATTTTTCAAGTTTTTTTTTTTTTTTGCATTGTTGAAGATGAATAAATTAGGATCGTTCCCCTAAACTAAAAGGGGTTTTAAGTTTATTTTTCCAAAATTTTACTACTTTATATTTTATCTTAATAAATTTGGAAGTATTTTCCGTTCTTTAGGGCCCCTTTAAAAGATTTCATTGTAAACAATAGTCACTGGTCATGCGGTAGTGACATAACCAGAGTTTACTCCCCCCCATCCCCCCACCCTTGGATTTCATGGGGGTGACACCAAAGATGCCGCCCCGGGTGACACCAACCCTACAATCCCACTGGATTGACCCATAATAGGCTAATATCCAACTTTACTGCTAGATGAACAGGGGAGCAGGTGTTGAAAACATGAAGCCCTAGTAACAATCTATTGTAATGAATATTTTACTCCAGATCAAACTAGAAGCCAGCTTAGATAACCTATGGTAATGAACATCCTATGACATCTCCACATGAATGTGATTTTCATGAATATTATACTAATAAAAAACAGTAACAACAATAATAATTTGGGAACTTACTTAAAACAGTCTTAGGAACAACACTGCTCCAATGCTTTTACTTTCTTCCAATTAACTTTTCCCAATTTTTTTATATCAAAGTAAATTTGAGATTTTTTTTCTTCTTCTTTGCCTTTGGTCTTCTTCCTGTGTTTAAAAGTTTATTTGTTATTTAAGCAGTAAACTATTAGGTTACATCATATATTGTGTAAAAGTACTAATCCTTAAGGTCATTCAACATTTTAAAATGGGTTCATTAAAAATTTGATTTTAGGCAGTGTGTATATTGTCTATAAAACAAATATAATTGTAAGTAGCAGCTCTCAGCCTTTTGTAGATTTATTACCAACTTACAGTCATCCAAAATACCCAGAACTCACTACATGAAGGTGGCTAACAGTAATGATGTATGGTGGTTGGCTTGAGAATTTCTGAATTTTATTACCTACTGTATCTTCCAGCATATAAGGAGTGATTTCTTTCCCACAAGAAGTCTTGGAAAAATCACCTTTTGCTTTATATGCTCAAGGTCAGGGTCAAGCGTAGGCTTTGGGGTTGCGCTTTAGCAGTTGTTTACTAATGTTACAACTGCTTAGAAACATTGTCTTATATGTTTTATATGCTCACGCGCCTTATATGCCAAAAAAAAAATACGGCAAATTTAGTATATATAAACTATGGTTGTTGAGGTGGCTCGGACATGTAGAGAGAATGGAGCAAAACAGAATGACTTCAAGAGTGTATCAGTCTGTAGTGGAAGGAAGGCGGGGTAGGGGTCAGGCTAGGAAAGGTTGGAGGGAGGGGGTAAAGGAGGTTTTGTGTGTGAAGGGCTTGGACTTCCAGCGGGTATGCGTGAGCGTGTTTGATAGGAGTGAATGGAGACAAATGGTTTTTAATACTTGATGTGCTGTTGGAGTGTGAGCAAAGTAACATTTATGAAAGGATTCAGGGAAACCGGCAGGCCGGACTTGAGTCCTGGAGATGGGAAGTACAGTGCCTGCACTCTGAAGGAGGGGTGTTAATGTTGCAGTTTAAAAACTGTAGTGTAAACCACCCTTCTGACAAGACAGAGATGGAGTGAATGATGGTGAAAGTTTTTCTTTTTTGGGCCACCCTGCCTTGGTGGGAATTGGCCAGTGTGTTAATAAAAAATAAAAAAAAACTATGGCTAGAAACTAATGATATTATAGCATGATGAGTATAACCATCCAAACTAGAACACATAAAGGATAACACAACACATAACTGACAGCAGACTATGCATTTTTATGTAAAGAGAATTCAAGATTCATGACTACAATTGCTGCAAAATAATGAATGTGATATTTGTCATCCATAGCACATAATTCAGTTTGCTGTCTTCACTGTCTGTCACAGCAAACAAACTTTTGGAACACTCTGTTCCTTGCCATGATTATAAGTTACAAATATTAAAAATAAAAGAAACAACGTATACAAAATGCATATGAATAAATAAGACATAACAGAATATTATATATACAAATGATTAACTTGTTGCAAGAATAAAAAACAAGACTATTCACACTCACTGTTTCTTCTGAAGCTCGCTTGACACCTTCTGTAGGTTGTTTGGCACCTTCTGAAACTTCATTCTCTCCTTCTCCACCTTCGCCTTCCAGTGTTGCACCAGCATATTTATTTAACCATTCATCATCAGCCCAAACAGCACGTGATGAGCCTTCCTTAGCTTTCTGAGGCTTTGCCAGATTTACACGTATTGTACGGCCAAACAATTCACTCTCATTCTGAAAGAGATGCTGAATTCTAATGCAGGGGAAATTAACTTTATCTGACATGAATAAACAAATTTCTTGTTTAACTTTTTATTTCATCTTTTAAATACATAGTTTCTTTTTCCAGGCCCAAAAATTTATCTTCTTCTGTATAAAGTAAGATAGCTGGCAAGACCACCTGTCCTAGCCTCTCCTTTATATCTCAGTATTTTGATTAAAACATATGCAAATAGCTTCCAGGTTGGCTATTATTCCTAGATAAAGATAGGGAGATTATCTACTGGCATGAATTTCACTTACTACATTGTAATGTTTGCACTAGTTACTTTTTAACGGATTCATAAATACAATTTTGAATGACAGCATGGAACTTTCATAAAGAACATATTAAAGAAAGTGGGAAATTAGATTTTTTTTTTTAACAAGTTGGCCGTCTCCCACCGAAGCAGGGTAACCCAAAAAGAAAGAAAATCCCCAAAAAGAAAATACTTTCATCATCATTCAACACTTTCACCTCACTCACACATAATCACTGTTTTTGCAGAGGTGCTCAGAATACAACAGTTTAGAAGCATATACAGTGGACCCCTGACCAACGGTGGCATCGACTAATGGCAAATTCGTCTAATGGCGCTCTTTGGCGTAAAAAAAAATGGCTCTACCAACGTCGAAAAACTCATCTAAAGGCTTTCGTCCCAAACGTGTCCATGCGGCCAGAGCGTGGCCTGAGTGGGCCCAGCCACTCCAAGACTCAGTGTGACATTGTTTACAAGCCGCTGTGGTCGATTCCATGTGTACCTGCGAAATATTTTGTATTATTCCAGTGTTTTTAGTGCTTGTAACTGCTAAATAAGCCACCATGGGCCCCAAGAAAGCTTCTAGTGCCAAGGCTGTGGTAAAAAGGGTGAGAATTACTATGGAAATGAAAGAGATAATTGAAAAATATGAAAGTGGAGTGCGTATATCCAAGTTGGAAAGGCTATATAACAAACCCCATTCAACCATCACTACTATCTTGGTGAACAGAAAGGCGATCAAGGAAGCTGTTGTTGCGAAAGGTGCAAATATATTTCCCCAATTCAAAGTTTCCTTCATGAATATTAAATAATATAAACACTTACCATATTATCAATTGCAGCAATAGCATCTTCTGGCAACTCAAACTCAATAAAGGCAAAACCTCTGTGTTTCTCTGTCTCATAATCAAGAGGAATCTGTATATCGACAACATCTCCAAATGGGGTGAAGGCAGACCTCAGGACATCCTCTGTCACTTCATCTGCCAACCCACCTACAGACAGTGATAAAAATCCCATGAGAATTCACATCAAAACTGATACAAAACATTTAGCATAAAAATAGTAACTGTGCAAATTCGCTCTTGAATAAATAAAAAATAGACTTACCAAATTCCTAACCCAAAAAAGCTATCAGCAACAGAAGCTAGCTTTAACATAAAACATAAGGGACAGTATTGTATGTATGATTCAAATGTACTGTAACCTAACAAGTTTGGCTGAGTAAAATTTATACAAGTATACACAAAATATATCATAGTTTTCTTTATGTGTTATGATAAAATGAAAGACAAACACCACAGTAATCTTAGTTAACCAACTCATACACAGAGTACAAGTTTTATTTGTTTATTTAGGTACCATAAGTCACACAGTATACATACATAGTTAATTTGCACTTTAATTTGACAGTTTGACAGACAAACAGACACAGACATACATACATTCATACATACATTCATACATACATACATACATGCATACATACATACATACATGCATGCATACATACATACATACATACATACATACATACATACATACATACATGCATACATACGTACATACAGTGAGTGAGTTATCTTGGAGTTAGTTTGTTGCTGTGCGTTGTATCCGTATGGGATGAACAGCTCCTTGGAAATGGGAGATAGGTTTGTTCCGAGGAAAGGCAGTATAATGCTAACTCCTGAGTTAAATAAAAATAACAACACGATCACAACGGCTTGGAGGGCACACCAGGGTCATTAAGACTGCATGTAACCTATACACCACCGGTCAAAGATACTTTTATCCTTATTATTATTATTATTGTTATAGGGGCACTAAACCCGTAGGGATTATACAGCGCTTGTTGGGGGGATGGAGGGCATTCAGACTTAATTCTGGGAACTGAAGCACAGATCCAATTCCCTAGATCAAGAGCCTCACAAGCATCAAGGTACCTCCCTTCAGAAATTAATCCCTAATAGGGATTATATACACTGAGAAATGCCAAGACAAATCGAATCCTATTACTAAATCTGCCATTTGTACTAATATTAAATGATCTGACTACCTAACTAATTTAAACCTCATTATGTATGTACCTAACTGAGAATTTATCTAATTAAGTACCTAATAATATGTTCAAATGTTCTGATCAAATATGACCTATATCAAAGTATTATTATAATCAAAAAGAAGCGCTAAACCACAAGGGCTATACAGCGCTACCTATATCAAAATAGCATAATAATTAGTATTAGTCTGCCCGAAGTGCCTAGGCACAATAGTGGCCATTTTTGTGTTTAAAATATTATAACATGTAAACCACACATTGTAAGTTTTAGAAGGAAATAAATATTTGTATTTGTACCCACTTCTCAGTCCATGTATAAATCCCATCCCTGGCAACACACCCCCCCACTCTTCATAGATCTAAACTTACTCCCAGTTCAGTACATCCACACTTACTACTGTGCAATCTACATCTACAGGGCCTTAAACTCTAATATCAACCTTGACCTAAAACGCTTTCTTGATAGTTGTGACAGAACCCACAGGCATAACACCAGAAACAAACATCTCTACGACATTCCCCGTGTCCGACTAAACTTTACAAAAATTCAATGTATGTCAAAGGCCCTAAAATCTGGAACACCCTACCTGAGAACTCTAGAACTGCAGACACATTCATCACCTTCAAAACTACCATTAGAAAACATCTTATCTCCTGATACACCCCGTCAACTAACTACACGAATACCACCTGGTGGTTCACACTTACACTCACTCACTCATTTGACCATAAACAGAAATATTAATCTCAGTCTTAAAATAATGAATCCTGTGATACTCCAATACTGAAACTATATACTGTGCCAAAACAAAAGCATTCACATTGCTAAACTCACAAACTAGTATTTAGTCACTTAGCCATAATACCAACTTACCTCATAATTTGTAATATTTTACAATTAAGAATAAAACTAAGTATGCCCGAAATGCCTAGCCATGCTAAGCGTTCTAGTGGTACACTCTGTAATCACAATTTTACTACATGTAAACCAAACAATAACCAAATTTCTGTAAACTCAGCATTGTAATCCTTATAGAGAATAAACTTTGAATTTGAATTTGAATGTAACCTGACTCAATACTATGGAGATGTGTACTGAACTCGAAAATAATTTTAGACATATAGATTAGGGTCAGTTACTAATACTGAAGACCTGTGCCTTGAATCTGGACTGTCTCCCCTGAATTTCATTACATATTAATCCTTAAATATACAGAACTTACCCACGTAAAGTATTCTCTTATTGCTGCTGGACATTGTTGACGGTTTATAGGGACACCACACCTCACGCCGTACTTAACTCCTCCCCCTCCCTCACTACCTCCCCCTTCCTCATCCTCCCTCCCACCCCCTCCTCTACCTCCATCCTCCTCTACCTCCATCCCCCTCCATCTCCCTCCTCCTCCTCCACCTCCTCCTCCTCCTCCTCCTCCTCCTCCCTCCCCTCCTCCATCCTTAAGAGATAAGATAAGATAAGATTTTGTTCGGATTTTTAACCCCGGAGGGTTAGCCACCCAGGATAACCCAAGAAAGTCAGTGCGTCATCGAGGACTGTCTAACTTATTTCCATTGGGGTCCTTAATTTTGTCCCCCAGGATGCGACCCACACCAGTCGACTAACACCCAGGTACCTATTTGCTGCTAGGTGAACAGGACAACAGGTGTAAGGAAACGTGTCGAAATGTTTCCACCCGCCGGGAATCGAACCCGGGCCCTCCGTGTGTGAAGCGGGAGCTTTAGCCACCAGGCCACCGGGCCTTCTTCATCTCCCTCCCCTCCTCCTCTACCTCCATCCTCCTCCATCTCCCTCATCATCCTCATCCTCCTCCCTCCCCCTCCTCCTCCTCCTCCTCTTCTCCATCTCCCTCCCCCTCCCCCTCTTCCTCCATCCTCCTCCATCTCCTTTCTCCTCTTCCTCCTCCCTCCCCGTCCTCCTCCATCCTTCTCCATCCTCCTCCATCTCTTTCCTCCCTTCCTCCTCCTCCCTCCCCCGTCCTCCTCCATCCTTCTTCATCTCCCTCCCCCTTCCTCCTCCTCATTCCATCCTCCCTCCCCTCCTCCTCCTCCCCTCCTCCTCCTACTCCTCCTCCTTCTCCTCCTCCTCCTTCTTCCTCCCCCTCCTCCTCCCTCCCCTCCTCTTCCTCCTCTCTCCCCTCCCCTCCTCCTCCTCCTCCTCTCTCCCCTCCCCTCCTCCTCCTTCTCCCTCCCCTCCCCCCTCCTCCTCCTCCCTCCCCCTCCCCTCCTCCTCCCCCCTCCCCTCCTCCTCCCCTTCCTCCTCCCTCCCCTCCTAATCCTCCTCCTCCCTCCCCTCCTAATCCTCCTCCTCCCTCCCCTCCTCCTCCTCCTCCCTCCCCTTTCCTCCTCCCTCCCCTCCTCCTCCTCCCCTCCTCCTCCTCCTCCTCCCTCCCCTCCTCCTCCTCCCCTTCCTCCTCCCTCCCCTCCTAATCCTCCTCCTCCCTCCCCTCCTCCTCCTCCATTCCCCTCCTCCTCCTCCTCCCTCCCCTCTTCCTCCTCCCTCCCCTCCTCCTCCTCCTCCCCCTCCTCTTCCTCCTCCTCCCTCCCCTCCTCCTCCTCCTCCTGTTCTTCTTAAAACTCTACCAGACACTTCAACAATATCACAATTGTCTGTGCTGATGACATGCTTGTATATGCTAACAATTGTCGTGAAATGCAAATTACTTTGAATTACATGCAGACAGCCTGTGATAGTCTTGGTCTTACATTTTCTGCAGAAAAGACCAGTGTTTAATAGACATATTGGTAACCGTAAAAGTGGACCATAATGATTAAAGGTTAATGGCAGGCCTAGTGATTGTGTGTCTTCCTGTCAATATACAGGAATTACTGTTCCATGCACTCTAAGAGCTATGAATAAAGTTAATTAATAATCTATGGGCATACTTAAAGTTATCAGAACTGTTGTAGCTGTAAGGTACCGTCAAAAATATGATATAAATGTTAGAATGGCTAAAATGATGCATTTAGCGGACATAAGTTCTCTGATACATTTCTAGGCACAATACAGTAAAGCCTTATTAGCTTCCAGGTATTAGTACAGGGCTCAAAGCTTGGCCTCTGATCTCGCCTCTTTAGATTTGTCCATTACCACTACTTGTTGCTATCCTTTGTTGTTCTTTATAATCTACTAATAAAACTTGTATATGAAGGTTACCCTTACTGGTTCTAGTTCCAGTTTCCCCTGTTTGTCTATCATTCTGGAAAGACTGCGTAAATTACAGACGGTCGAGGGCGTCAAGAATATGTGAGGTGATCAGTCTCTTAGTGTAGAAAGTAGGCTGCCCGCCTCGGTTGCTTGGTAGGCAACGATCTCGCCTCACACAATGAGTGTCCGGGGTTCAGTTCCCGGCCGAGTAGAAATATTGAACATGCTTCCTTACACTTGTTGTCCCCGTTCACCTAGCAGGAAGTAGGTATTTGGGTGTTAGTCGACTGGTGTGGGTTGCATCCTGAAAGACCCCAATGGAAATAAAACAGACAGTCCTCGATAACGGGCTCCAGGCGGACATCAACCGAATCTTTCAGTGGGCTGCAGAAAACAATATGAAGTTCAACGATGAGAAATTTCAATTACTCAGATATGGTAAACACGAGGAAATTAAATCTTCATCAGAGTACAAAACAAATTCTGGCCACAAAATAGAGCGAAACACCAACGTCAAAGACCTGGGAGTGATCATGTCGGAGGATCTCACCTTCAAGGACCATAACATTGTATCAATCGCATCTGCTAGAAAAATGACAGGATGGATAATGAGAACCTTCAAAACTAGGGATGCCAAGCCCATGATGACACTCTTCAGGTCACTTGTTCTATCTAGGCTGGAATATTGCTGCACACTAACAGCACCTTTCAAGGCAGGTGAAATTGCTGACCTAGAAAATGTAGAGAACCTTCACGGCGCGCATAACGGAGATAAAACACCTCAATTACTGGGAGCGCTTGAGGTTCCTGAACCTGTATTCCCTGGAATGCAGGCGGGAGAGATACATGATTATATACACCTGGAAAATCCTAGAGGGACTAGTACCGAACTTGCACACGAAAATCACTCACTACGAAAGCAAAAGACTTGGCAGACGATGCAACATCCCCCCAATGAAAAGCAGGGGTGTCACTAGCACGTTAAGAGACCATACAATAAGTGTCAGGGGCCCGAGACTGTTCAACTGCCTCCCAGCATACATAAGGGGGATTACCAACAGACCCCTGGCAGTCTTCAAGCTGGCACAGGACAAGCACCTAAAGTCGGTTCCTGACCAGCCGGGCTGTGGCTCGTACGTTGGTTTGCGTGCAGCCAGCAGCAACAACCTGGTTGATCAGGCTCTGATCCACCAGGAGGCCTGGTCACAGACCGGGCCGCGGGGGCGTTGACCCCCGGAACTCTCTCCAGGTAAACTCCAGGTAAACTCCAGGTGGATAACCCTTCTGGTTAAAAATATAAATAAATCTGATCTTATCTTAACAGTCTTGATGGATGTATCACCTCAAACAAATTTTTCACGTCTTCCACAGCCTCTTAACTGTTTCATCTAGGCTGAGGGAATAATCACGTCAAATTACTTCATGTCTTCTACAGTCTGCAGTATTATTCTCTGTATTGGACTGATAGAGCCACTAGTTGGCGAAACGTCTCCACAGTCAAGATAGCCGAGTGTTGTAAGTGTTTTATTTATCTACTTGTTCCTGTTGAAAACCATTAATCAAGTGCCAGGGGCCCAAGACTGTTCAACTGCCTCCCAGCACACATAAGGGGGATTACCAATAGACCCCTGGCTGTCTTCAAGAAGGCGCTGGACAGGTACCTGAAGTCAGTATCTGACCAGCCGGGTTGTGGTTTGCACAATGCATGTATTAGATATGACAGATAAATATGGTTATAGATTTGCTGTGCTACTTGCTGACACTGTTTAAAACTGAATTACCAGCTATATTCTACAGTATTCTAATAAATGTGTTGTTACAGGCACGATGCAACCCGCTGTACTGGCCCCTTCTCTTTGTTGTATTTGTGAAGTACTCAACCCTTGTGTGTTTCAGCGCAATCAGTATCCCTCGTTTACCTTCACAAGATGAGACGCCATTAACTCTTGACGGCTGAGAACTGTGTGCAAGTTTTTAGAGATTTTTATCTTAAAATATAGTTCAGAGCGAATGAATTTTATTAAAATTGTGATATTTTTTAAGGAATACAAAGTAAATTGTTATTTATAGTCACTTAGAACCTAAGATTTAAAAATAATCTGGTTAAATTGTAATGGTTTGTGATACGTTGCTAAACTTCATGAAAAATGATTTTTATATTGAGTTTAGGAAGATGTGTTGTTATTAATAGTCAAGTTATTTCCACAGGTAAGTCAAGGTTGGAGCTCATCGAGGGACCAAGTAACACGTACAATGTACCATCCCATTACATAATACTAATGCGTATCCTGCTTTTTTAGTAGATGCTGTTCAAGCAAGTGAATCACAAGGTGTAGCTGTCACTCAGAGTAGAGAGTAGATGTCGTTTACTGTGCTCAAGAAAACTATGAGAACTCCATTCTAATACCGTGTTTGTTCATTCTGGCAGTTTGTATTTTTGTGTTTTTACGTTCCTATGAAAGTTCGTATTTATTCTGTATTGCCAAGAGAGCTTAGTGATCTCAGAGGTTGAAGTAGTCTTTAACTCTCACAACTTTCATTCTCCCGCTCCTTTCATTGTTCATGGAAGTTGTGGAAAATTGCATTTATCTGAATGTAACTAATTATGTACATAACAGTAAATGATAACAAAGATAATTATTATTTATCAATGTTACATAGACAAGTAGGAATTTGGGACACCTAGGTCGCAAAAAATGTCCCCCTTCGATACCTACCACTGTCATAACCACAAGTTGCTCTGGACCTATTAATTAAATGAAATATACATACACCAGGAATACTGGTAAATATATAAATTTGTGGACTGTATATTAAAAATAATAAAGGGTTATATATATACACAATTACATAACAGAAGGAAAATATATCTTAATATCACTCACCAATTTGACTGGAGATTAATATGTATCATACTCAGAAAACCTCACTCTAACTAAATCTATGAAAATAATGCTGGCCAGAATTACACAAATCTAGAGAGCTTATCTGAGGTTCCTGGAGCTGTCTTGTCCAGTCGTCTGATATCTCAAGTTATGCAGGAATGCACATCCACCAATTTCGCCTCCTATTTGAGAGGTGTCAACACAATTTTAACCTCTAGAGCACGAAAAATTCTTCCCATTACACCAAAGTCTGTACAAAATTCAAAACCAAGATGGCGAGTCT